TAAGTTATTCTTGTTTAAAATTTTAAAAAAACTTATTAAAAAATATTTGCTTGGTTTCTATTGACTCAACTCTATATAAATTTATTAATTATTAAAGTTTAAATATATTTTAAAGCTTGAATATTTAAGCATTAAAAATTAATTAAAAAAAAAAAATCTTTAAATACTATACTACTACCTTAAAGTATCCCGTGCGTAGCCCTGGCCCACCCAAAGGCCTAGTTTAGAAATTTGGCATTTTAAAATACTCTACAAAAAAAAGTTTATTTTAAGCTTATCTTGTATTAAATTTATAAATTTTTTTTCGTAGTGTATACACTCAATTATTAAAATATGTAAAATATTTTTTCAAAATTTAGGCCGATCGGGTTATAAAAAAATAAAATTTTGCATGACTTATATATATATAGCTAATAGAATCTTCAAATTTTTGAAAGACGCAAAAATAAGAACATGTGATTGATACAGAACGTGATAAAATTACGACGCGTATTGAGTGTATACGTACTAAAAAAAACAAAACAGATCTACATTTTACATATTTCTTTTTATCTATAAAAACCATTTCAAAAAGTTTAGTTTGACTTGCGATCTTTGCTATTCTCTTGCAAAAATGAAACTCAAACAATTTTCTATTCCCACTATATCGACATTATCAACAAGACATTCTCTTATCACTTTACCACCTGAGATTTTTTTAAATATTTGTAAACATCTTCCACCATTTGATTTGTTTTCGCTTTCAAGAGTTTGTCGACTTTTTTATAATGATCTTTGTCTTGGTGAATCAGTAACTATCCAAGAGATTTGGCGTCAATCGCGCCTTGTTTTTATGCCCTATCGACAAATGGGACCACCCGAAGGGATGAATGAAAAAGAATATGTTAGATTCTTAGTGGAAGATAAATGTTATTTTTGTGGAAAAAGGAATAAGAGTAGTAGGATTTATTGGGAACGTGGAGTTCGATCTTGTTTCGAATGTTTAAAAACCCGCACTAAAACGTAAGTATATATTGAAGAAATTTTATTACAAGAAAAAATAAATGATAACATACATGATAATAATATGATTATGCCTAATTATAATTAGGCAAGAGGAATTAATTGAATCAAAAATCGTTCCACCGGCGGTTTTGCATTTGTTGCCTTGTTCCTACACACGTTCTATTCCAATCTTTTGGTTAGATCAGATTATGCCAAAGCATGAAGAATTCAAACGACTTAATTCGCAAGAATGCCTAGCTTGGATGGAAAAGCAACGCATTATTACTGAACAAATTGAAAAAGAAATGGACTTACGTTTTTTTGAAGATATGGCAGCCAAAAAAGTACAAAAAACCGAAAGAAAACGCGCAATTGACGCAAAACTTAATGAATTATGTTTGGAAAAGAATGAGAATGGAACTTGCAGGTATTTGCGAAAATATCTTGATCAATGCCATTCTTTGAAAAATTCGTATAAATACACTAGACCATTCACCGAAAAAGCATGGAAACTGTTGAAACGAAAGCTAGCAAAAGAATATTTGCAATTAATAGAACTGGAAAAAGAAAATGTGTCAAGTCAGAGATCGGTTGAATTGGCTTTAGAGAAGGTGGTATATTGGATTGATTAGAGTGATTAATTAGAAATTATTTCTTTTTTACTAGATATTATTTTGAATTTAAAAAAAAAATTAATGCTTCAGATAGATATGTTAAATGCTTAATAATAATAATCGCAATTCTAAAATTTTGAAAAACTATTAATACAATTAGTGTCGCGTCATCAAATTATTAGACTTTGCAATTTTATAAAATAAATATTTGTGTAGCGCAGACCATTAAACTTGCAAAAATTTAAGACCCAAGCATTACCAATCTAAAATTTCGCCATGTTAGTTACGTTTCGCTATAAGGTTCGAGAATTAAGACAGCACTAGTTGTTAGTAAGCATAATTTTGGTACACGTTGCACCCGATCTTGACCATTAATATAATTCAGGCCGATGATATTCGACATCTTTAATTTTGGCCGGAAATTATTGGTTTTTTTTTATAGCGATTATTATTATGTAATTTTTATTAGCGATCGAATTCACTTCACTATGTCGATATAAACTAGCCTTAAGTTTGACTTCGCTATATTGAGATTTTAATTAGTCTCCTGAGTTTTACTCTAACGTGATGCAAACGGCCTAATTTAACTTACAGCCAACATTGATCAAGCTGATCTACCTCTTCGGTTCTACAAGCCGGGACCGAACTATTTATAAGCTAACAAGCTTCAAGCCGACAAAAGCCGTTAGAAAATATTGTTTTCAAATTGGGAATGCATCTTGTTATACCTTTTTTTTAAAATATATAATTAATATAAACACTTTAAGTAATAATAAGGCCACGCAAATTTAATTTATTGATTCTTGTAACTTGAAAACTTTCAAATAGTTTAAATAGACCCCGCCGGCCGGCTTTTTTTACAACTGTTTTCATAAATTCTGGAATAACTGTAGGAATGCCGATGACCGAATCGATAAGTTTCTGAGTTCAGCCGAAGTCGGTTACTTATTGATTCCGACTCGATTCGGTCAGGCAATTTTTTCAGTTGTTCCAGAATTTATGAAAACAGCCGTAATTTTATAATAACAATTTTTTTAATATTTTTCTTTTAAAAAAACTCACCGGTTACAATTTAAATCTAAAAAAATATATGTATTAGACCATGCAAAGTTAATTAATTGGTTCTCGTAAATAAAAAAAAATTTAATAAAAATGGTTTAAGTATAAAAATAAATATTGGATTTTATTAATTTTTTTCAGTTTAAAATTTATCTATTTTTTAAAAAATATCAAAATAACCATTACCACCCCTAGATATATTTAGAGTTAGGGTGCAGCTTTAAGACATATAGAAGTTTTTTATATTATATCTCAAAAACATACTAAGTAAACAGAATCGGGTACTCTAAGTAAAAATGTTTAGGACTCTTGAATACCTCACAAAAACTAAAATTGGGGCCTTATATCTAATTAACATTATATTAAGCACCCTGGTGATGATCACCACTGGTTATAGTTAAATTTATTATTATTATTATTCTTCTTCTTATTTTTCTTTAGAATTAATAAATTTGTAACCGTAGGTTACTGTAACCGTAATTAAGATCAGGTAATCACAATTTTTTTTTTTTATAAAAATAAAACTTTGCAACTAAGAGTAGTTAGGGTGAGGCTAGGATTAGAAAAAGAGCACAATTTATATCAAAATTTAGCAAAGAATTTTTTATGTTAGAACGTAAAAGATGGTTTCATAATCAAATTTTTGAGTTATTAATGATTTTTTTTAAAAAAATAGTTTTTGTTTTGATTTCACATTACACCTGATCTTAAAATTTAATTGGCTTTATTGGATGCAGTTACAGTAACCACGGTTACAAATTTATTAACTCTATAAAATTTTATTAATAAAATTTTATAAAATCTTATAATTCACAAATTTCTTTTAATTAATTCTAACTTTATGTATTAAGTAAACTTGTTCAGCGCCTAGAAATATATCAAACCAGCAGAATTATTTTTATTTTACTTGAAATTTAGAGAAGAGATATATAATTTTGAAATTTTGATCAAAAAAGGTAAATTTAAGCATTATTTCTTCAAATTTTAAGTAAAATAAAAACAAAATTTTCAATTTAATGTATTTTTAGATGCTAAACAAGTTTACTTAGTATATAAAGTTAGAATTAATTAAAAGAAATTTGTGAATTATAAGATTTTATAAAATTTTATTAATAAAATTTTATAAAATCTTATGATTTGCAATATTTTATTAATTAATTCTAACTTTATATACTATGTAATTTTGTTTAGCATTTAAAAATATATTAACTGGTAAAATTGTTTTTATTTTACTTAAAATTTGAAGAAATGATGCTTAAATTTGACTTTTTTGATCAAAATTCCAAAATTATATATCTATTCTCTAAATCTTAAGTAAAATAAAATAATTTTGCTATTTTAATATATTTTTAAATTTTGATATATTTTTAGACACTAAACAAGTTTACTTAGTATATAAAGTTAGAATTAATTAAAAAAATTCGCAAATTATAAGATATTATAAATTTCATTAATAAAATTCTATTAAAACTTATATTTTGCAATATTTTATTAATTAATTTTAACTTTATATACTAAGTAAACTTGTTCAGCATTTAGAAATATATTAATTTAGCAAAATTTTATTTATTTTACTTGAAATTTGGAGAAATAATATTTAAATTTGCCTTTTTTGATCAAATTTCTAAAATTATATATTTATTCTTTAAATCTCAAGTAAAATAAAAATAATTCTGCTATTTTGATATATTTCTAGGCACTAACAAGTTTACTTAGTATATTAACTTAGAATTAATTAATAGAAATTCACAAATTATAAGATTTTATAAAATTTTATTAATAAAATTTTATAAAATTTTATGATTTGCAATATTTTACTAATTAATTTTAACTTCATATACTAAGTAATCTTGTTAGCATCTAAAAATATATTAAATTAAGAAAATTGTTTTTATATTGTTTAAAATTTGGAGAAATGATATTTAAATTTAACTTTTTTGATTAAAATTCTAAAATTATGTATCTATTTTCTAAATTTCAAGTAAAATAAAAATAATTCTGCTATTTTGTTGTATTACAAGGCACTAAACAAGTTTACTTAGTACATAAAGTTAGAATTAATTAAAAGAAATTCATGAATTATAAAATTTTATAAAATTTTATTAAAATTCTATAAAATCTTATAATTTACAATATTTTACTAATTAATTCTAACTTTATATACTAAGTAATCTTGTTTAGCACCTAAAAATATATAGAAATATATAAATATATTTAAATTTAAACTAGTCTGCAAACTTCAGACCAGACCCAGATCAAACTCATAATTAAGTTTAAGTTTGGTCTGAAGTTTGAAATTTGTAAAATTTAGAGTCTGAGTCTGGTTTGATCCTAGACCAAACTCAGGTCGAACTAGGTAATTTGCTATTTCTACTATAGTTATACAAGATTTTTTTTTTTTTTTTTTTTAATATTAAAGGTAAGACCTTGCTCTTATCTTTATTAAATTTAACAAAAACTCTTTACATAGTCGAAAAAAAGTTTTATCATTTAAATCTAAAACTAAGAAAAAGAACTCAGATATATATCTAAGTAAACCTAAATACTTATCTGTGGCCTAAACCTACCAGAGTGGCCAAGGCTCACCTAGATTTGTGGA